CCGAAAGCGGCCCCTCGGGGGCCGACGACGGCGACAACGACGACGACGACGACGGCGACGGCGACGGCGACAACGACGACGGCGGCGCGATGGAACGAAAACGCTTCGTCGGAGATCTGGGCCTACGTCCGTGGAGACCTCCCAAGTGGGTCCGAGCAGATGGGGTCGGAGCATCGCCCCGCATCGCCGATGCGTTGGCCCTGACGGAGTGGATCCAATCGGGCAGGAGCTTGTGTCTCCGACGGACAACGCCCGCGGCGACGCCGACAGCGAATCCTGTCCAAAATGGGCCAGAACTGCTGCTGGACTTTGCACCCACTGTTTTCGTATACGCTTCGGTCCCCTCGATCATCCAGGGAGGAGGTCCGGGAGGGCAGGCCGAATGACGGGCGGAGGATGCATGTTCCTCAAGCATGAGGAAGAGTATGCGTCAGAACCACCTCTGTTCCCCACAAAAGGTCGCCACCCAGAAACCGTACATTTGGGAATCAACCATCTTAGAATACACCAGCAAATTATCTGGCGATTCCCTCTATTGGGGGCGGGTGTGTGCCGAAACAAGTACCAATGCATTTCCCCGCGGGGCACGCTGTGCCATACCAATGCAACACCACGGGGCACGCTGTGCAATACCGGTGCAAGACCGATGCATTTCCCCGCGGGGCACGCTGTGCATTTGCCGGACCAGATACCAATACACTGCCATGTGCCCAACCGGGGGAAGTCCGATCAAATCAGAGCGGAATTCCTCGCGAAGTGGCCGTGGGGCGGCTGGGGGACGTGCATCTGGGGACCCGCCTCATCCTCAAACCACGAAGCCATCTGTGGAGGGGCCCTGGGGCACACAAATAAATACACACACCAATAACCAGATTCCCCATATTTCCAATATTTTCTGGGTTTTCGTCTTCCCCTCCACTTCCCATATATTCCCATCTTGTCTAGGGAATCGAGGATGAATGGTGTCTGTGTGTGTTTTTTCCCTCCTGGATCTGCCCGAGCCTCGAAGGCCTGGGGGACGGCCCGAGGCTGGCGGCGCGCACAAGGGGGGGAAGGGGGGAGGACTTCCCAGAGGCAGGCTGCCTCTCAGAGGGCGCCAGCCCTGCATCTGCAGAGAGGGCCCCCGCGCCTTCTGAGGAGCAGGGGTGCTCTATCGGGGAGACGTAAGACTCGGGTACGGGGGACTCGGGTTGGCCCGACGGGGCGATCAGAAAAATGACGAAGCCCAATCTGAAATTTGACGCGAGCTCCCGCTGCAGACATCCCACGAAAACTGGACCGTCAAAATCCAGGACGCGCTCGTCGAAAAAACATCGGCAAACCCGAGGTCCGGCTTACTCGGGTCTTGCGTTCCCCCGAATCTAAGAAGCCCTCCCTCCTCCCCCTAACCCCCCTCTTCACTGCACCAACCTGGCAGACGTGCTGCAGCGGATTGTCGCAGGGATTTCTGTCAGTGCAAAACGCCTGAACGGCGAGTGAAAAGCGAAGTGAATTTCGCGTGTGGTCTCTTTAGTCTTCATTCCTGACCCCAAGAAAACCCCCGCGCGAAATCCACCTCGAAATCCGGACCGAGGTCTCCCAAGGGCACTCCAGGCCCACCCTGTCCGTCTTCCGCGCGAGAATCCGCTCTGCGACGTTGCCGCCATGACCCCTCTGCACGTGGCCGACGAGGGACAGTCCGAGGGACGGGCCGAGGGACGGCGTCTTGGAGGCCATCTTGAGCGTCTTGGAGGCCTCTTGGGCCGTCTTGGGGGCCTCTTGGGGCCGTCTTGGGCCTCTTGGGTTCTTTTGGGGCACTAGGGCCGTCTCGGGCCGTCGGAAGGCCGAACAAAAAGCAGATGCCACAGTCCTTCCAAAACTCATGGGAAATCACCGAGTTTGACCTTTTCGGGCCTTCCTGGAGGCGGGGGCGGAGCCCCCGTGCCGCCGAAGCGTCGCACAGGCGGAGCGGCGCGGAGCGGCGCGGAGCGGAGCGAGGGGCGGTCACGGCGCGTCGTGGGCGCCGCCGCGCGGAGGCCCCGCGCTGGGCGCCGCCTCGCGGGGGGGGGGAGGGGGGGCGCATTTGGGGGGGCCGCGGAGGAGAGGCGCACTGCGGGGGGCGCCCTTGTCAAGAGGAGCCCCGAGATCCTGGCGTCCTCCTCCTCCCTCCTCCTCCTCCTCCTCCTCCTCCTCCTCCTCCTCCTCCTCCTTCTTCCTCCTTCCTCCTTCCTCCTTTCTCCTTCCTCCTTCCTCCTTCCTCCTTCCTCCTTCCTCCTCCTCCTTTTTCTTCTCCTCCTCCTCCTCCTCCTCCGTCTCCTCTCCTCTCCTCTCCTTCCCCGGGCACCCAAATCCCAGATGTCGCGAACACAATGTGACGACTGCCGTCAATGCTCGGCCTCCTGGCGCCATCGCCGAGCCTGGGATCTCGTCAAACAGCTAGTTACTCAAGATGAGAACCGGTCCCCGGGAAGGGGTGCAGTCACTTGAGGGCTCCACGCCGTGGATCGGCGGCGAACGAGGGGGGGAAGCGAGAAGGAGAAGGCCTGCTCAGAAGGCGGGAAGGCGGCGGGACTTCTCAGAAACCCTCGCGCCTCCTCCTCCTCCTCCTCCTCCTCCTCCTCCTCCTCCTCCTCGTCCTTGTGACCCTGGGGCCACGGAAGGTTTGAGAGGCGACTCGCCTTGGGCTGCGGCAGCACGCCGCGGAACTCGCCGGCGCAGTCCCAGAGCCCGGCGCTGCCGCCCTCGTAGGGGCAGACCTCGAAGGCACAGCCCAAGACAACAACGGGGGACGTGAAGGATTTTTCCATGTGGGGCATTGGAAGCCGGGGGGGAATTGGAGGCCTGGAAATTGGCACCAACACCAACACAGGCGGGTTGCCTCCACATGGGGAAGATGATCCTAGATTTCGGTGTTGGTGGTAATATTTCGGTCACCTTGGAAGCCAGACTATTACCACCATCACCGAGATCGGGATCGTCTTCCCTCGGTGGAGGCACACCACCGATCTTGGTGCTGGTGTCCACCTCCAGGCCTCTGGTCTAGAGAGGGAGGTGGAGGAGGAGGTGGAGCAGGGGAACGCGGAGGAGGCGGAGCAGGGGGACGTGGAGGAGGCGGAGCAGGGGGAAGGCAGGGAGGATCGGATCGAATCGGCCGTCCGTGAAGGAGGGGCAACGCCCTGCTGCCGGGCGAGCGCCTACTCCAATCTGGGGCCCGACGGTCGCGGCTTCGGCGCCTTCTGGGGGGGCCAGGAGGAGCTCAGGGATCCAAGCTCTCGAGGGGATTCGAGGCAGAAGGGGAAGACTTCGAAGGGGCCTGCAAGTCCTTAAAGCGACTCGAAGGGGCTAGGAGAAGGAGGGAGCGACGCTTGGCGGCGAGCCTGGGGGGGGGGGGGGAAGTGAGAAGGGGCGGCCTTCTCAGAGGGCTCGGAAGCCCTCCGGCCTCGAGAGGAGTGCCCTGAGCCCTCCCCGCCGACGCCGGAAACCCCTCAGGAGGCGCGAGGGCTCCCGAGAAGCCCCGCCGCCTCCTGAGCAGGCCCCCTCCTCCTCTCCCTCCCCCCCCCCCCTGCCTCGCCGCCGCGAGGAGGGGAGGGGGAGGGCGGGACGCTGGCCGGCACCTCCGACTGCTCGCCCGGTGCCCGCCCGCCGGCGGGCCTTCGGGGAGGAGGAGGAGGAGGAGGAGGAGGAGGAGGGGAGGAGGAGGAGGAGGAGGAGGAGGGAGGAGGAGGAGGAGGAGGAGGAGGAGGAGGAGGAGGAGGGGAGGAGGAGGAGGAGGAGGAGGAGGAGGAGGAGGAGGAGGAGGAGGAGGAGGAGGAGGAGGAGGAGGAGGTGGAGGAGGAGGAGGAGGAGGAGGAGGAGGTCTTCGTCGCGCGGGGGGTGCCCGCCCGTCGGGGGAGAGCCGCGCGCGGGCGCCCCGTGGTGAGGAGGCGTCCTGGCGCACCACCTTATAGGCTGCACGCCGGGCCTGGCGCTGCCTACAGGGCAGTTTCTAATACATAAGACTTTTAATACTGTAGGAGTTTAATACAATATTAAAGTATGAATAAATTATTGCATGAACTCATCGTTGTTTTTCTGCTAAATCCTTGCATGTCTGGCGCACCACCTTATAGGCTGCACGCCGGGCCTGGCGCTGCATACAGGGCATGGCTACCTACCCGACCACCCCAACCCAACCCGAAGGCCCGAATTTCGGGTTGGGGGGGGGGGGTACGGGTTCCATACGTGCTTTCTCGATGTTCCCCGCCCCCCCCCCACACTGGAAAGGGAGGTCAATTTGAGGCCTTCGGGTTGGGTTGGGGTGGTTTGGTGGGTGGTGAGGGCAGTTTTTAATACATGTGTTTTTAATAAACATAGGATTCTAATACATGATTAATGTATGAATAAATTGATGCATGACCTCATCGTTGTCTTTAATGCTAAATCCCTGCAGGTTCAATACATGATCCGCACGCGGAGCATGTATTAAAAACGGCGCTGCATAGCTTGCACCATGCAGGCTGCACAAGGTAGCTTGCACGAGATAGCTACACGAGCCCCCCTTTAACCTGCTCAAGACAGCCTGCACCACGTGACCGTCATCCGTCGACCGCCCCACACAGAAGAGACCACGAGGAGAGGCCCCACAAGGAGAGCACGGCCTTCACTGCACCACCTTCGACTGCACTGCACACAGTCTGCACCGCAAGTGTCACAAAGCAGGAACCCGCTTGGGGTCTCCGCTGGCAAACCTCTTGTAAGCGATGCCCTGTTTTTGTTTCACAACGTCAGATGGTGGGGTCTCTGCCTCACCCTCCCCTCGCGCCCTCCGTCCCCTTTCCACTCTCGTACCTCCTCGAGATTGTGTTTTCTGCGTCCTCCCTCCCCCTCCCCCCCTCCAATGACTGCCGATCCTTGTTCTTCCTGGCCCCTGTAAGCCTTCAAGCCCTTCTGCCCCGCACCCACTCGCATCCACTTCTGTCTTCCCTCTCCACCCGCATCGCAACGAGGTTGAAAATCCTGGAAATGAGAGCTCGCTTGGGGCCCTATCGAGACTCCGTCCGGCTCGCCATGCTGCTCCTACCAAGCGAGCTCTCATCTCCTAGGACTAAAACCGCGCGGATGCGCTGGCTCGGTGTCGGGACCACATGCAATGCCGCCCGGATCATCTCTGCGTCATTCATCCTGGGCTCGTCCTTCGGATCCTTCAGCACAGGACTCATGTTGAACTCGAAGAACCAGGCTTTGCCGTGGATGTCCATCATGAAATCGGCACTAAAAATCTCGAACTGCTTTTTCCCAAGCCTGCCTTCCAGCTTCCCATCCGTGACCGCCTTCCTAATGATACGGGCAACGGCTGCCTTGCATTTCGGGTACGCGTCGGGCCAGGCCTTCCAACCACTGCTTCGCTCCGATCGGATGATCGTGACCTGCGTCTCCTTTGATAAGTCTCCAGGCGACCATACATTGGGAGAGATGGACAGGTAGCCCTCCCTGTACGTATAGACACGCCACGTCACGCCATCCTCCATGGACGTCAGCAAGACGTAAAACTTTATGTGGCACTTCCGGCCGTCGTCCAACAGCAAAGGATCCGCCACGTGCTGCTGGACAACGTACGTGGCATCTGGCTTCGCCAGTCTCAGGCACTCCGACGGTTTGCCACACAGGTGCACGGAGGTACCCCAGTTCCTGTCGGACTCCTTCACAAACCATGGCAGATCTGCCACTTGGTCATCGTGAGGCGGCGGATCGCCGCTCCACTGCCCCCGCTCTATGATATAGGTCTTTGGCATCACGGACTCGTCGCAGATTTGGAGCACGTTCGTCTTCCCCTCAAGCCACACCCGCCCCCTCAGGTACATGGCAATCCGACTAAAGTGCGACTCGTCTGCGAAGTCCACGAGCTTCTTCCTCTTCCCTCCTCCCAATCGACCATCTTCCCGATCCTCATCCTACAGCTACCACGCCTCCTATCCCTTCTCGTCGCTGTGGTCCTCCGCCCCCTTCCCCTCCTTCTCCTGCCCGCCCCCTCCCCTCCCTAGCGGGCAGTGGTACTCGATCCCCTTCTGGTCGTCTTCGAACCACGTCTGGCTCGGGTACACCCGCCAATCGGGCCGTTCCAGGAAGTACTCGCAGTAGCGCTGGCCGTGCCCGCCGACTCTGCAATTGGTGCAGTAGAAGTACTTCTGCCTCCCCCCTCCCCCCTCCACAGCTCCCCCTTCCCCCATGCTCCCCTTTACCATCTTTCACCATCTCTCGACATTGCGACGTGCACATTGCGACGTGCACAACGACGTATGCTACGACTCATTGTGAACACTCCGAGGCGACGAGAGAGCACCCAACTGAACGCAGCAGCCGACGGCGACGCCCAGTCCAACCCTGCCCGCACCGACGATGACACCAGCGACAGCACGATCGACGCAGGAAGGGAATTCGAGTTCGACGACGTCGAAGACGATACAGGACTCGAGCCATGGGAGGAGTTCATTCGCAGAGCCACACACACGGCTACAGATCTCGCTGCCCGCTCTCACGTGGACGAGTGGACAACAGTATACTACAGACGAAAATGGCGGTGGGCAAAGCGAGTGGCAACACATTCGAACCTTAGATGGACAAGGCTTGCGGCAGCGTGGGAGCCGGAAGTCCACGACAATCGAATAGCACAGCGCAGACATAGACGACAATGCAAGCGGTGGTGCGACGACACATCACAGCTTATACATATTACCATTGGGAGTAGTACCAAACATTGGTTAGATTATGCTTGTGACCAGAACTTCTGGGACAGCTGGGAAGACGCCTTCCTCCACCACATGCAATGACCGGGCTCCGGCTCACCCGCGCTGCTCTTAGGGGGCCCGCCAACCGTCCGGCGGACTCAGCGCGCTCCCGCTCCCCGCTCCCACCATCTCTCGACTACGTATCACTCGCATCCCCCTTCCCCCACCCATCTCCGTACATTCGCTCGTTCCACCTTCCCATCGGGCCTTTCGGACGGCGCGACTGTATGCCTCTACACGAAGCGCGAAAGGGGAGAGGAGGCGGAGGAAGAGGGATGAGAGATTGGTGCCCTTACGCTTCCCCTCGGTTCCCCCCCCATCCACCTTTTCAACCTACCCCCCTCCCTTACAGATCTGCCCTGGGAGGCCCACAAGATCACCGAAGATCGCCGAATATGACCGCAAGAGGCCCCAAGAGGCCTCATGATGGCCCCCCCAAAAGGCCCCAATCTGCTCCACCCGACGCCTGAAGTCGCAGAAGCAACCCACGACGCCGTGACAACAGAAAAACCGCCTGAACTCGCGACGACTGCACCTCTGTACGGTATTTCTCGAGAGCCGGATCGATCCGCCAGGAGGGGGGGATCAGAACGGGGCGAAGCCGCCCGTCGTGAGCTGTTGCCATCGAAGGGCCCATTGGGATACCAAGGCACTTCCGAGCGATTGGGACGAAGATGAAATGCTAAAAGGTGCATGAGCAAGATGCCCCGCCACGACGCGGCTCTGGCCCGAATAACGGGCCGAAAACAGTCCTCAAAGGCAGGGGAGGCGACGAGGAGCCCGAGGGCCCCACCAGAGAGGCCCGCCCCAGCAACTGCCCTGCCGGGAGGAGAGGGCCGTAGCCAAGGCCCCGGACGAGGATGAGGAGAGGTTGGTCCCCTGAGGAGGAAGGGGAGGAGGCGGAGAAGGAGGAGGCGGAGGAGGGGGAGGAGGAGGAGGAGGAGAAGGAGGAGGAGGAGGAGGAGGAGGAGGAGGGAGGAGGGGGAGGAGGAGGGGGAGGAGGAGGAGGAGGAGGGGAGGAGGAGGAGGAGGAGGAGGGAAGAGTTGTAGAGGAGGAGGAGGCGGAGGAGGAGGAGGGCAGTCGACTTCTTCAACCTGCCTTCCTCCGATAGCGGGGCCACAGGTCGCCCGCGCCCCCCCTCTCCCTTGGCCTCGTCCTCAGCCCCGGCCTCAGCCTCAGCCTCAGCCTCTTCCTCCTCCTCCTTCCTCCTCTCCTCTTCTCCTCCTCCTCCTCCTCTCCTCCTCCTCCCTCCCCCTCTTCCCGCTCGCCCCCTCCCTCGTCCCCCATCCGCCTTTCTCCCCGTCGTCCCCCTCCCTCCTCTTGCTCCTTCCCTCCCTCCTCCTCCTCCCCCTCCTCCGGCCGGCCCCCTCACCCCCTCGTCCTTGTCCCACTCCTCTCTCCTCCCTGCCCCCCCTGCCTCAGCGGTTTGCCGGACAGGTCCACGGGCACGGGCGCCGCCGTCTGCGAGTCCTCCACGGCCACGAAGAGTGCGGGGTCTTCGATCACCTCCTTCATGGTGGTCATCTCCTGTCGGACAGCGGCATCAAACATCGGACATCGAACTGCAGTCGAGGTGCCGTGCCAGGGGGGGCCCTGCAGGTGGGCGCGAGGGCGCAGCTCTGACTGACAATGAATGGCGGTGAAACAGAAGCACAAGCGAACGAGATAAGAAAGAGAGAGGAAAACAGTATTGTTTGACCTGGCAAGGGACCCGGTCAGCGTGAAGACCCAGCCATATGCAGCTGCGAGTGTCGCGAAGCAGGTGGAATGAAGGATGGAGGCCACGAAGCATGTGAGGGGTGTGCCGACATGGGTCCGGTGGCGCCATGCGGACCCTCCCACTGGGGCTTTCGGTGGAATTCCCTAAGGGTGTGCTGAAATGTGTGCGGTGGCATCACGAGAACACTCCCACAGGTCGGGGTCCCTATCGGGCCACGAAGCGTGCGAGGGGTGTGCCAGAACTAGCGTCGGTGGCGCCATGCGGACGCCCCAACTGGGGCCATCGGTGCCGACATTGGCGCGGTGGCGTCATGCGGATGGTGTGCCAAAATGGGCTCGGTGGGGCCATGCGGACCCTCCCACTGGACCCTTCTGGTGGAGCCCCTTACGGGGCCACGAAGCGTGTGAGGGGTGTGTCGGGATTGGCATAGGTGTCGCCATGCGGACTCTCCCTCTGGGCCTTTGGTGGAGCTCTCTATGGGCCATGAAGCGCGCTAGGAGTGTACAGGAACTGGCTTTTGTGGCACCACGCGGGCCCTTCCACTGGTGCCTTTTTGTTTACCTAGCGCGGCGCGCGCAGCGCGCCTCGCCCGCTCCCGTGGCTTCCGCCAGAAGCCAAGCTCGTCAAAGACGAAATGAGAAACGCTTCTGCGGACGTCCTGGCTTGGGGCCCAGGCCCACCTGAATGAACTCGATATTCTGGAGCCTGGCCCCGTGCGCCTCGCCCGCTGCAGAGCTGCCTGCGCTTGCCGTTGATCTCCTCGGCAACCGGCGGCACCTCCTGCAGACTCGGTAGCCGTCGACGCTCTCGAGGTCGCGCTCGCCCCCTCGCACGACGCGCCGTCGCAGCGCGGAGCCGTGGGCAACGCAGGGGCAGCCTCCTCGTGCTCCAGAAGCCCAGCCTCGATCCGGCTCGCAGCTGCCAGCGCCGCGATCACGTCGCCCGCGGCAGGGGGCGCCGACGCGGCGGGCTTCCTCTTGGCCCCGCTGGCGTCGGGCGCGAACGCCTTCTCGCTGCAGGCGTTCGGGCGAAGGCCCCTGGCCCCGTTCTCATTCCGCGCCGACACGAGGCACCTCCTGCAATGGATGCCGCCATTCTCGGTCATGACCGCGTCGTTCCTGGTCAGCGATAGCAGGTGACCCTTGTTGTACTCCTTGTAGTTCTGGTCGCTGCCCAGACGGATTGGGCCGCCTGGCCCCCTGCTGACCCGATCAAGTGGGCCACTCCATCGAGGGCGCGCGCGCGCCTCTCCCCGGCGAGCCTCCTGCCAGCAGGAGAACGGAAGATCTCCGCCACGCACGCGGCACACGTGTCGGCCTCCACGTTGCCGCGCCTGTCCTTCAGGGCGGTAGCGCCAGCTTCCACGTCGTTTATGGCAGCGTGGCCCTTGGCCCCCTCGACGGTGACGTCCTCCTCGCCAAGCCCGCCGACGTGGCCGAGGGCCTGTCGTGCCGGGCGCCTCGGAGCCCCCCGGGCAGACGTCGACCTACGCTGGGCCACCAAGTCGTCGACGACGATTGCTGCCACCACCGTTTCATTGAGCGCCGCCATAGCGTCGAGCGGAGTGAGCAGCGCGACCCTCGCGAAGGTGGTCGCGAAAGCGCCCCCCGCCAACGCCGTCTGCCAACCGACCAACTCATCGGACAGCAAGTCAAGGCGCGCGACCCTCGGCATCCTGTGGAGCGACACCTGCAGCTTGGCCAGCCCGCGCAGCGCGCGTGCGAGATTTGCTCGAAAACCATCCGCAAGTCCATCCAGGTGGAGCCTGACGCCCGGCCCCCGTGCCTGCGGACCTCGGCCAGCATCTGCACCCGCTCCGCGCGCTCCTGCTGCAACCGAACACATCGGTCGCAGCTCTTGCCTGAACTCGCCCACCAGTGGGGGCGGTCGCGGTGCCTCCCCCATGTCTTCGCAATCGATCTGCGCAGCCTTTCGCGGGCGTGCGCGATAGCCCCCGGCGGCGCCATGGGGCGCAGGCCCCCGTCTGTCTTCGGGATGAAGGTGAGCTCAGTAACGCAGGAGGGCCATTCGCACTCCGACCCGATGGCCACGGGCAGGTCGATGAGCACCTCGATGCCCTCGTTGTTCAGCAGCCCTCCCGCGGGGCCTCAACGAGTCGAAGGGCGAACCAGAAAACTCCCTGAAGGAGGCGATGACCGCCCTGGCGTCGTCCACCGTCGGCCTCTTGCCTAGCGCACCGGACCAGGAGGCGGCGGCAGCCTCCAGCTTGTCCGAGGGCCTGGGGGACCCCGCCCCCCAGCGCGAGGGCCCCGGTGCCTTTGAAATGATTCTCCCCGATCCACTCATGAAAACCAACCCTGCTCTTGTCGACGACGCGCTTGACGACCCTGCCGGCCACGGCGTCCGCCGCGAAGCTGCCCGCCTGCAACTGGCTGACGTCCATGGGCCCCACTGGCTGCGCGAAGCCGAGGGGCGTCTCGCGCGCCCGGTGCGCCCCCGGTCTCGCGCAAGTAGAATTGCCGGGCCGCTTGCCGCGCAGCCTGCCCAGCCCCTCCAAGGGGCGAAGCCGCCGAAGAGGGAGGTCGCACCGGCTCGAGCCCACGAGCGCTATTACACATGAGGCCCCAGCCGTGGCCACGGCCGCGGCATCCGCGATGGCGTGCGAAACGACGACGGCGTCGTCGGCCAGACGGTCTCGCCGCCTCTTCGGCGGGCGAAACCACCTTGCCCATGACGCTGTCCAGGAACCCAGCACAGGCCACCCCCTGCTATGACAAAGGGCCTCATTATGGCGCCTTGGACCATGCCCGAAACGCTCAGGTTGAACTCGGAAAAGCCTCGGTTCACCCTGATATGGAAGCTGGACCAGGCAAACCCCCTAGGGGAGTCCCGTCACATGCGCGAAGGCCGCGCGGCCAGTTGTAACACTGTGATCCTGTCCCATCTCGAAGACGCCGAGGTCGCTCGACCTGGGCGCGAGCTGAAGCAATCCTCCGTGGCCAGAGTTGCCAACTTGTCCAAGACCTCGTCGCACCTGTCGCCAGAGAGGTGCGCCCCCTGCACTGCTACCATGTCGCAGGCGCGAACCTCATCGTAGGAGCAGTCCGTCGAATCTGCTGTAAGCCTTCGCGTTCATGGTGCGGGCAATCCGGCAATCCACCTACGCCGCGGGCTGCGACCACCCTACTGCGGCGCTGGGCTGACTGGCGGATCGCAAGGCCTCCTGAGCCTCTCGCACCCGCTTGCGCTCGTCCTCGCCGCTGCCGCCGTGCAACACGCCACCAGGGTCTTCCGCAGCCACGAACCAGTCGAACGCGGAGTCGGGGTCGCCAGCTGGCGCCTCTCCTGACTTTCCTTGCGCAATCTGCGCTCCTCCGACGCCGTTGCCTCAGCCTGCGGCTAACTGCGTGCCGGGTGTTGCTGGTTGCTCGGGCCGGGTAGCCGCTGGCGCTGCGAGTTGGCTTGGCTTCCTCAGCGATCTCGTCGACCAGGGAGGAGAGCCGCTGGAGTAGGTCGTGCCCTGAGACGCCATCGGTGTTGATCGCTATGAGCTTGCCCATGACAGTGTCGGGGTTGATGCCGCCCTGGGCGCCGTAGAGAGCCGCCGCCTCGCGCTTGGCCTCGGCGAGCTCGCACTCGAGCCTCTCGACGGCCGTTCGTTCGCGTCTTGCGCGCCAAATCCAGAGCCTCGAACGCCCGCTCGTGGTCGCGCTGAAGCCAGGACTTTGCACGTGCCAACTGCCGAGCCACCGCGTCCACTCGCTGCGGCGCTGCTCTTCCAACCAGCCCAGCAGCAGCAACACGGCGAGCGCTCTCAACTTTGCTCCGACTTCCCTGATTGAGCGTGGGCTCCGTGGCCTCCCAGGTCGCGTCGCGGAGCGCCGCCCAGGTCTTGGTCTGCTCCGCTGGGATGGTGTTCCCCGACGGTTGTGCTTTGCCGAACTTCGGGTCCCAGCCCCCGTTGCCGTAGCCGCTGTTGCCACCCTTGTTGTCGCTGAAGGACTTAGTTTTCTGCCCCGATTGACGGCGAGGGGGTCCACCAGCCCACTGTCCCCGAAGGAGGTGCACGCTGTTCCCACGGCTGGCGCGGCACGCGAGGCCGAACTCCACCGCATCTTGCCTTCGCGCACCTGAAACGGGCTGCGAGGTGAAGCTCTCCACATAGGCGCTGCCACTGGGCTGCCATGGCCGAGACTCGCCAATTGTTATAAATGCAAGCAAGAGAACCCACGCGCGCGCTGCCGAGAGAACTGTCCGCGGCTCAGCGGTCTCCACTCGGGAGCCCGCGGGCACAAGCATCTTGAGCCCAAATGGCTACGGAGTCACACCTGGGCCTTCAGTGGAGCTCCGTATGAGGCCACGCGTGTGAGGGGTGTGCCGGCATTGGCTTTGGTAGCGCAATGTGGACTCTCCCACTGGGGCCTTCGGTGGAGCTCCCTATGGGGCCACAAACCGCGCGAAACGTGCGAGGGGTGTGCCGCAATGACGTCGAGGAGGGAGAAGGAAAAAGGAGGGAGCGAGGACGGGGCGGAGGAGGAGGAGGAGGAGGAGGAGGAGGAGGAGGAGGAGGAGGAGGAGGAGGAGGAGGAGGAGGAGGAGGGGGAGGAGTGGACGCAGGGCGCTGCTGATTCAAGACAAAAACCCAGCACCACAGGATGGTTGGGAAAAACGCAGCTCGCGACGGAGACGAATCCCAACACGGCCACATTTCGCGGGTGATGCCCGAGTCATACGAATCGCTGGCATCGGGAAAGTTCGCAAACCTATCCCAGAAGGCCGACACAGCCTGGGAAACAAGAGGTTGATATGACTTTGCCCAGCAGGGAGGAGTGCTGACGAGGGC